AAATAGCTGCAGACTATGTGGATAAGAAATTAGAGGAATCATATATCTTAGAACCATATTATTTATAATTGTTACATTAATAGCTATTTTATTCAAATTAAAACGTTTGGCTATTTTAACGGCTAACATTTATTGCAATGTTTAAAAAAATTAGTGATGAATGGTCAAGGAAAACAATTTAATTTTTCAACATAGGCAATTAATTAATTAATTTTTAAAAACTTCAAAATCCAGCCAGGAAATAAAATATAATACGGGTTGCACTCTTTCGTCTTCATTATTTATTACCAACATAAAACGATTTATAGATTCTCTTTTCCTTCCTGCTTATTTTAAATCCATGCCGTTTCCATAGAATCTTTTTATAATCTATTGCCTGTGTTTTCCTCCCCTTCGCCAGACATCTTTTGTATAATTTAAAGCCCTGCTCAGCCCGCTTTTCTCCCCCACTTTTTTTTTTGCATTGGCAGACTGAAAATGAAAAATTTAAATCGCGCATACGCCGCGTTGGCCATTATTTCCACTTACAACTCTTCTCCTCAATCGCCTTCTTCCAGCTCTGTTTGTACTATATATATCAGGGGGTTTTCCCCCTTATAGAGAACTGGATAACTAGACTTGGCGATAGTTTTGGTGGCTGTGAGACACTTTGTTGGGTTTTTATTGTTGCTTTTTATGCTCCATACACAAGTTTTTATTCTCTGCTATACTTTGTTTTTTACACCAACGAAACTTTTCTTTTATTTATTTCCTGCCTTGCAAGTGCCTGCCACGCCCCATTTAAAATGAAAATATTCTCAACCATTTTATATTGTGTTTAATACATTTTAAAGGAGGATAGGTAGGGGGTCGGCGAATGGCTTTCAATGAAAAATTTGCGGCAATCAAAAAAATTACACACATTTTTTTGCCATGTCTGATAATTTATGAACTTGTCAAATGTGTCTCAGTTTTCCCACCCATTCAACCATTCGCTGTGTAAAATTTATTCATGCCTCTGCCGTTGGAAAAAGAGTTTTATTTATTGTGATCGCTGTGGCGCAAAAAAAATGAGAGTTAAACTTTATGCGAGACAAAAAAGCAAATGCATTCCGTAGCAACTGCACTCCCCTTTGTGCCCCTTCCACATATGGCAAATATTTGTATGTGCTGCTGACGCCCTTCAGCTCTGTTTGGGGCTCAAATTAAATTTACAATTTGTTTGGTGAAAGCCAAAAAGTTGAACAAAATAATTCTCGTATCAGGACAAAGAGAAATGGCTGAAATAAAGCTTTCAAAGGAAGGGAGGAAGCTGCTAAAAAAATAATAGAATTTTCTGATTTAAAGCCGATTTTCAAAGGCAAAATGAAAAGCATAGATTTGTAATTTGAAATATTGTTTGTAAGTTCTTTTAATAGCAAATGGAAAAAATTAGTTCAAAATTAAAGATATAATGTAATTTTACCAAAATGAAGTGAGTTGTGGTTTTATTATTATTTTTATAAATAATTAAAATTTTAAAAATATATATTTTAAAACACAGTTTTCTCCCATTAAATGGACTTTCCTCCACACAGATAGTAATTTATTTTGCCACCACTGCAGTTATGGTATTTGTAATTTTTTTATTTGTGGGCTTAGTTTGCGTAATGAGGTTAATCCAATTTGAGTTGCCGTTGTGCCATTTTTGCGCTTCATAAACCAAATTTCTTTTCTATTTTCGTTTGTTTCTTTTTTTTTTATTGAATTTCCATTTCGATTTCCATTTGGTCGGCCCGAGAACAACGAACAATGAACTGGGACCGACTTGTCCCCTTTCACCCCCGCTGACATATTTGTGATCTATCAAAAAGCAATTCACTCAACCGAACCATCAGCATTCATTTGGATTCATACCCGTCCCTTTGCCACCATGCCACGATTCCACCATTCAGCCATCCATCAATCAATCAATCATTATGCTCATAAAAATTAGCAACATCAAGCGGTAAACGGGAACAAATGAAATGCCGCCTCAAGCCGCAAAAATGTTTGCATTAAAATTAATTACAACTGAAATCGTAGCCCAGAAATCTACGGCTGATGAATACAAATTGTGTGGGCGATGTAAAATATGGAAGCGCATTAAAAGGGTTATGGCATCCAATGGGGCGTATGCGCAACGCCCATAGGAACGGCCCTCGTCCAACGTAACAACTAAAAATCCATCAACACTCTTTTCCACGCCCCTTCCAAAATGGGACACATGCTCGGGATCTTTACACAACATTGAAAGGTGTTTCCCCGGCGGACAAATTGGAGGGCAAACACACAAAACTGAGATCCAAAGTCGAATTTTGGATGACCTTTCCAGTGTTAATATTATTTAAAAATAAACCCTGAAGAACAAATATTTTAAACTAAAAATTTTGATAAAACAACTATTATTTAGACTTTTAAAAATATATAAAATGTAAAAAATAAGTTATCGAAAAAGTGAAAACAAAATATTTTCCAAAGGCTTCAAACGACAACTTTATACAAATTAAAATGTTTTTTAATTAAAAGATATTTTGGGAAGTCAGAGGAAAATCAAGACTGAAATATTATAAATACAACAAGAGAGAACGCTATAGTCGGGTGCCCCGACTATCAGATACCCGTTACTCAGCTAAAGGGAGTGCGAGGGAGATGGAGATAGAAACTTTGATCACGCATAACTTTTTAACGAATGGTCCGATTTGAAAAATTTCTTCTACATTTCGATAGGTATTGATAAACACAATAAAACTGCATTTTTACTTTTCCGAAATATTTAAATTTTTAAAATCGTATATAAGCGATTGTGGGCGTTAAAGGGGGCGTGGCACCTTTTTGAAACAAACTTGCGCTGCGTAGGAACTCCTGGAATCTGCATGCAAAATGCCAATCTTCTATATTTTATAGTTTCCGAGATCTCAGCGTTCATACGGACAGACAGACGGACAGACGGACAGACGGACAGACGGACAGACAGACGGACAGACGGACATGGCTAGATCGACTCGGCTAGTGATCCTGAGCAAGAATATATATACTTTATAGGGTCGGAAACGCTTCCTTCTACCTGTTACATACTTTTGCACGAATACAATATACCCTTTTACTCTACGAGTAACGGGTATAAAAATAATGTCAACTTAAAAGCAAATTCAAAACTTTATTATAGAGTACAAAATAGTATCAATAAAAACTTTTAATTGTATTCAAAAATAATCGAAAAAAGAAATTGCAATAAAATTCACCAGATACAATTTTGAAGAAGCAAATCTAAGAATTTTCAGTTATAATAGATATGAGCACATATTGAAGTAATCAGAAAAATTGGGAAATAAAGTTATTTCCAAGAAATGTAATCAAGTGCCCATAAAATCCATAAACTCACAAATCAGCCAATCTTATTTAATTTATCTGTGCGCCACTTCATTCCTGGAATTTGCTTCAAAGCTCGAACAAAATGTGTTGTTCTCGAAAGAAGGGATTTTTATTGTATTTATTGCCGCCCAAGACAAGTGAAAAAAAAAATGTGTGGGGCGATGGTGGGAAAAGTGGGCGTGGTGCCGTTGGAAAATCTTACAAGCCGCCGAGTGACAAGGCAAGGGAAAACATGGCTGGCATGTTTGTTTTATAAATGAATTTTTTTATTGCCTGCCAAAAAGGTGGGACGACCACTCGATTGGCAAATATTTTTAAATATTTACTTATATATTTTAAATTTAAAAATTGAATATTACCGATATTATTTAATTCCTAATTTATGTTCGACTTTTTTCGGTTGGCTGGCTGAAGAAAAAGCTTCTATGGCTCCTCATTTCCTGTCTCGTATTTGTTTGTTTGCCTTCCCCTTCGGAAGTGTTTTTTTTTTCCCAGCTCCTTCGAACTCTTTGATTTGATTAGTGATAGACCCCCCGCAATCCTTCGTCTGATTGCTCTATGAATGAATCCCAATAAATGGCCACAAAGAAGAGAAATCATTCCCTCATTTTTTTTATGATTTTTTCCCTCAATTTTTCAGCTCTGAAATTGGTTTGGCTTCGTCAGCGTTTTCCCCTATATATATATATATGTGTTGGATTCTGATTCTGATTCTGGAATTAGCTTGTTTCCTGAGCTGTCGCACATGTGCCACGAATTTTCAGCTCCCAAATTGAGTTACGAAAGTGGAATGATATTAATGAAGCGCCGGCTGCTCTTCGGAATGTGGGAATTTTTTTTTTTTGATTTTTCACTTATATTTGTCGAAAATGTCTCTAGGTTATCAGCTTTTTCGACTTTCTGATTTTTTGGCCAACAAGCTTTTATGGCTGCAACCGACATTTTTACTGATTGTGCACACTTTTCTAGTTGGCTTGTGATCGAATTTAATACAAATCAAATAAATAAACGAACAATTTTTAAGCATTTCCAATTTGTAACTTTAAATTTGTGAAAATTGGATTTGATGTGCATTCAAATTATTTATTTAAAGTTATAAAGGACTTTATTATTTATGTGTCTATGAAGTTACTATTAAGTAAATTGATATTCTCTGCTCTGTTCGTTCGAATCTCTGTCTGTGGCAAATTTCATGGGCATTTTTCACTTCTTCCACTCATTAGACGCCCATTAGTCAGCGTAATACTCACGATGATCTATGCCAATCTATTCCGAAAATCTTTTTTCGGAGGCCTTTTTCTGTTCAATCTACCGCACAGTTGCGACTCATTAAGAAATCATTTTTCACAAGGAGCCAAACAAACAAACGGGCAGCAACAACAAATAAATAAAGACAATTTGAATGGAGAAACCGAAAAAAAAAAAAACAAAAAATAGCATTTGTCTAAGAATAGAAACTTCGGGGCGCAGGCACTTGTTGAAAATAAAACGAGTGAGAGGCAAGATAGCGGGCAATGCCATGACCTCTCATACATTTTCCGGAAAATCTCCCCCTATTGCATATCTTAAATTCCAGAAAATTACCACAAATAATGCCGCAGATCTTATGGGTATTTCAATTTATTTACCTTGATTTCTTTTGCGGTCTCCTCTACGATTGATGTTCCATTTATGTCGCCGGTCTTTTCGCTGTTGGGTTTAACATTAAAATTTATTGAACTTAATTGGAACGCGAACTAAACGTGGAATTTAAAAATCAATTTAATTATACAGTATTATGGGTTATTGGTTCTGCGCGATGGAGCCACCACACACTTTTTGCACTTTGATCTTTTTTGTTCACTTAATTCTCGTTTTTATTTCGTGTTTATTTTTTACTTTTGTTCATTGCTTTTATACAGCTCTTTGTTTTTGTGTAATTATTAAACGCCTGTTTTGTTTTTGCTTTGTTAATAACTTAAATGCAATTTGTTCTAATTAATTTATATGATATGTTGAATTAATTGCATTTTACTTTCGTAATATATTTGGACTCTATTTCAGTCTATTTGAGCTTTGTTTACTATTATGTAATTAATTATCAATTAGTTTATTAAGAATAAAGTTATTTAAATTTGAATTTGAAAATATTTCAAATATAGAAGATTCTCGTAATAATTCGAAAGTTTTTTTTATTAGTTTCTCTAGGCTTTTGTCTTAAAAAAGGTCTTCGTGCTGAAATGAGAAAATGGTTAAAGGAATTTAGTAAGTAAGTCAGATAAATGTAGGTCTCTTATTAAGTTAATTATAATATCAAAGCAGTCATTAATTCCCTTTGTAATAATAGCTTGTTTACGTTCTCCATGACACATTTAATATTTTAATCATCATGTTGGTGGGTGATAGTTTGGGAACTTCTTGTAATCATATTATTTTCCCATTTTTATTGCACTCTGGTTGACCCAAAGACAAAAGAAAGAGATGGCAGAGTGCGAAAGAGAGGGCGCGATCGTTGCCGTTTTCCATTGAATTATGCTGCAATAAATTTCACCTCATAAGCCAATAATGACGAAAACTTTTGTGTTGCACACTTCGTGCCATGCGGCTGGCCTACTCCTGCTTGCCACTCCCCCCATACCGCCTTGCCGTCCACTAGCCCCGTCTCTGTCGCACTTATATTACTCTTCCTTTGTGCCGACTGCCTGCATAACAATGTCCTACATTCCCAACACGTACCATCGAACAACAACAACAACAACAGCAGCAGCAACTTTGGATGCTATTTAACAAGCGGGCAAAGGGGCGTGGCTGCCGCCCACCGCCCGCCACCCCATTTTTACCGCCCATCCGGCGTGCGAGCGAGATAGACAAATGCGAAAATTGCATACGAAACGTAACGAAAATGCAAAGCCCAAAGTTATTGAGACAGAAGAGTGGCGGAGAAGTGGAAAATCGGGCTTGTCAGACTTGTAGGTACACATCTATATATATATACACATTTATATATATATATATACCCATAGATATATATATGAGCCATATGCATATGGCCGCGTCTGTGTGCCAGTGCATATACCAATATGCATATGCGGGCCGTGATTAAAGCCAACTTAAAGCGAAACTGCAAAAAGGCAAGCGAAAAGTTGGTAAAAGATAGCGCAAAAGGAGCGGCAAGGAAAATGTAAAAAAAAAAATAATTGCAGATTGAGACAGTTCACTGGGCGAAAAAAGAGTTCAGTCCGAATCATGAAATATAAAGTATAGGTTTAACTGTGGTGAAGATTGAAAGACACCCCAGTTTGGATGTTATCACAAATTAAAAAGATCATTTAGATCTTAAAAAATTGCTTTTTAACAAACTAAAAATACATACATAACTTCCTCAGTTTTAACCCTTTATCATTGGTTTTTGTATACATTTTAAGCTAATACTCTTAAACATAATTAATATTTAAAATGCCTACAAGATCTTTGTTTATTTTCCTGCAATTACTGAATTCTTCTCTCATTTCGACAAAGATACTCCACATTTTTCAGGTGTTCCGTCGAGGTGACTGCATAATATATGCCCACATCGCGCCTTCCACTGCCATTCTGCCATTCTGCCCATTCCCCAGCGTTTGATATACGGTCTAGTACGGTTCGGTTAAGTAGTTACTATATGCGATGTGGGGCCAGCACAAACATTTCCGGGCTGCTTTCGTTTTCAAGACAAAGCCAAAAGTCGAACTTCTTGTTGGCCAGAAAGGGGTTGAGGCCTCATCGCCATCGTCGTCATCGCAGCTCCGAATCTCGGTCACGGGGCGGCAGTGATGGCGGAGAACTCTGGGCGACATAAATTGGCGACGGTTCTATGTGTATGAAAAGGCATGCCATTAAATAAATATTGTGTAATGCGCCGTCTGTCCATGTCTCGCTGTATGCCAAAGTACCCCTCTCTCCCTCTGCCAAACTATGTAATTAAATTTGGTGTTTTTCCTTGTCTGATTTAGTTAGTTTTACCAATTTGCATATGGGCACGGACAAGAGAGAAGCAACCCCATTTGCGCGACCCTTTCACGCGGTTTTTGGCCTGGCGAAAATTTCGGGGTTTCCATTTGGACTTTATGGAAGCCACTTGCAGAAGTTAATGGAGATAAATTTCATTTTGGGAGTTTCCACAGTCGAACTACTTTAAGTGGAAGTTGCAGCTTGTGGTATAAATGTTGATGCCATTTATTCAACGTTTTTTGAAAAAGTTCCAGGGAATATTCTGGAAGTTTGTTATATTCAATATTTTGCTTGGGAAAACTAATCAATTACTAATTCTTTGTAAAAGACGAAGAATAAATGAAAGTTTTATTATTTGTATGGACTTTTATTATCGTTTTTATGATTAATGATTTATGACTTTCGTAGTTAATTAGCCTTACTTTAATATCTTTCCATATCACACGATAAAACTATTCACAAATTTAACTAATATATCCAAATAAATTTTTGCTGAATAGAAATATAATAGAAAGTCTTAAGATATATAAACTTATTTGCTGCACTTAATCCATCCTATGCATTTTTCTATATCCATTAGCTTTCCTCTCCTTTAATATATGTATAAGTACATTGTGTATTCTATTTTTAGCTAGACAATTTTTCATCTTCATTCAAGCACTTTAACTGAGTTAGTGCATCGTTATGTACTCTTCTCTTTAGCCACCCATTTTTCCTCGCTATTCATCGTCATCACGAGGCACGCTTATTCACACTTATCGAAGCATACTTATGGGCGCAGGCGAAGCTTAAGTGCAACATTGTTGCTGTTGTCTTGCAGCACGGCAAAAAATAGGTAACTCTTAACCTAAGCCCAAAAAAATAATTAAATTTAATATAATTATAATTATTTATTTTACTAATTAAAAAATTTTGAGCTAGCAATAACTTTGTTGAATAATAAATTAAGGTTTCTTTGGTAATATGTTTATAAAAATTAAACAAAGTTTTCAAATATTATTTGAGTTACTATTATTATTTTTATATTATTATAATTATATATTTTACTAATTAAAAGCTTTTGAGCTAGCAATAACTTCGCTTAATAACAACTTAAGGATTTTTTGGTAATATGTGTATAAAAATTAAACAAAGATTTAAAAGATCAAGGACAGAATACAATTACTGGTTGCGAGCAAATGAAGTTCACAACTGGTTTTAAAATCAAAATTTGTATGTATAAATATTTATATTTAGACCTTGGAACGTAAAATATAAATGTTTGACCCAAATAAATATTTTGTTTTGCTGCAATTAAAGCCAGAACTTTTTTCAAGTGTACCCCAGCTGGTGTTGTTGTTTGGCAAGTGTAAAAATGGTGTTTTTGTTGTTTTTTGTGTGCTGCCTCATTGCATTTTCGTTTTTGGGGGCATTCGCTTGATTATGTATATTTACCCTAACACATTGAGCGACGATGGGCGAGGGGCGAAGGGCGGGAGGGGGGCGCGGATAGTTGGCCTGTAATTGCTATTTACACTAGCACATGCACACAGATACACACTCATACAGCGAGTGAAGATCCTGACACACACACACACACACAGGGACAATTATGTTTGTGTGTCTGATTTGATGGCGATAGCAGGCCAGGCCAGAAACCAAATCAAAGCCAACAGCAAACAAATAAATACAAACACAAAGGAAGACACACACACACACACACACACACAGATACTCACCCATACAAAAGCAGCTGGCTGTGTGCATGTATGCAAAATTTTGCAATGGTTTAATGCGCGACCTAAAGACCATTTAAACTAGGACAAATGAGGCCAGGCGCAGGACCCAAAACCCAAAACCCAGAACCAACAATCCAAAGCCCAAATCCGTAGCTGAAACTCAGCCCAACAATGGAAGGATATGTCGAGACGACAATAAAGGAAGTCACTTTTGTTTTCAGTCCGCATTATTTGCCATTATGCAGTGTGCTCCTATATGGATTTTTAGCTGGCTTAAAAAAAAAGATAGCGACAAATATGCGACACGTTCGTTTCACGTCCCTTTTCCCTTATTATCCTGCCATCTGATTTTTTCCTCCTGCAATTTTGTTTCCTTTTTCCTGCTCATAAATTAGGTCAGGCGAGGCATGACAATAACTAAAATGAAATCTATCACAAGAAGACGACTTATTGGTTACCAAAAATAAAAATACAAAACAGAAAAACTATAAACTTCAGATGATCAATAATAATTTAATAGTTAATAGAACTAACAAAAAGTATATCTAAAACATAACCGTTAAATATTTATTCGCAAGGAAAAGATATTGAAGTAAATATTTTCAATACAATAATTTAATGGGTAAAGAATGAAACCTATGAGTATCTATATGTTACACAAAACTACAAGTCTCTAAAATAAACTCATGGCCATTACAATATAGTACAAATAATAAAGTATTTAATTGTTTAGCATATATACCCTGGATTACCCTGTACCGGAACATTTTTATTATAATTCTGACAATTTCTCTTCTGCTCGCCTGACCAATTGATGATGCTGGCTCTGAGTAAATTTATTTTATTTTAATTTATTTATTTTATTTTCCATCCATTTAGTTATACGGCGTTTTTATATTTTATTTTATTTGCACTACTGCCTTTGTTGTTCATTTCGTGTGAGTTTGGGTTTTTTTTTCTTCCATGTCAATTTTCAGTTTATGGACATGATTTCCTCTGCGCTGCTGTTTCGGTTTATATAAATAAATATAAAGATGCAAAAACAAAATTGAAATGAAATTTCATATGTCATTATATTGCACAATTATTCCAATTGTTTTTTCCTTTCAACTTTGGTCCGCTAGTGTTTTTTACCCTATCAACCGTTTTTTGTTATTTCTGCATATTAAATGCGAAAGCGCCAACATTTGCATTAATTTTTTGTGGCCATTTTGATGTGACTGTTTTTTTCTCCATTTTGATGATTTAATATGGCAAATGTGCGGAACCAATTTCGAAACATATATACGTGGAAATGAAATATGAAGGGGAAAAAGGCCCCTGATACAATAATTATTTGTGATGGAGGAAGCCAAGTGGCCATTTCTTTGCGAAATTCTGAATAATTTTACGATTGAGCATTAATGGATGTGACAGCATTGTTTTTAATATCAACGAATTGAATAAATAAAATGTGAAATCATGTTTTTAAATATAACAAAAATATGCTTATGGCTGAATTGACAATTATTTTGCTTTGTGGAGAGGCTTTGTGCAGCTGTGTTAAAATAATAAAATAAATTATAATGAGAAACGTACCTTTATTTCTTTTAGTTAAAAGGAGATTAAATATTCAAACATACTTTTACTGTGGCTTTGCATTCAAAGCGATTATGTTTATTTCATTAAAAACTGTTATAAGAGTTGAGTTGTATAAAATATTTTTGATAATATTTATTTTTTAAAGCAATATTCTGCTTGGTCGGAAGGCTTTTTGATATTTAGTTTTTATGAGCATTTTTTAAGTATTCCATGAAGTATGTTTTTTTGTGGTATTCCATTTTATGGCTTGCAAGAACTATATAGAAATTCAGCTTTGATCAGCATAATAAATCTCTTAAGATTTCTGTTAATTTAACTCTCCGCCAGCAAAGATAAAAGAATTTGTCTAATTTGCAATAAATGTCGAAAAAATCGTATATCAAAGGCCCAAAGCCCTCTAAAGTTAGCATAAGAACGATCTGGACAATAGGAAAAACCAGAGGGAGATGGCAATGCATCAAAATTATTAATAGACCGTTAGTAAAAGAACGTCGAGATCGCGAGATGTTTTTCCCGTTGCGGTTCGTTGGGTTTTCAATGAGCGATGGCCTGGCAAAGATGCCGAAAGACATGAACAAATCATCAAATCAACTCGTTATTTGTTTAAGAAAATATTGTAACTTTTCCCCATTTCGCTTATATGTTTTTTGATTTTGTTTATGTTTGTCTAGCGGCGGCAGCTGACTGCAGAGATTGTTTATAAAATTGATTTATTTTTGAAAAAGAAGAACTAAAAGGGGATAGTTTTTAAAGTAGTCTTCTTATATTTTTGTAGTTTTGTTTCTATCAATTTATCATTGTTATTCGTGGATAAAATATATGATAAACAATATTGCTTCTAATATTTTACGAAAAAGGCCAAAGTTGTTGTTTTTATACATAAGATTAAGGTCACGAAACCATATATAAAAATGTTTATTATTTTCATATAAGACTAATCGTAGATGGACTGTATTAACAACGGAAAATATTTAAAAACATTTCGATTATGGGATCTCAAATTTAATAATCCTTAAAATTGTACAAATAACAATTTGATAATATTGTTGAGAGAACGACCAGAAATTGCCCATGAAACGTTTGGTTTAATAATATCATGCAGTAAACAAAGCAGTGAAACTAAAACCAAAGAAAAAACTTGTACGATGAGCAATTGCGTTTTTTAAGTATTTTTGGCTTATTTAATTATTCATTTTCTATTATTGAACAATAGACAAACAAATGGGGAATTAAAAAAAAATCATTGCCTCATTCGCACTTCATCACTGCGATGGAATTTCATTATTTGAATACTTTTGTTTTGGCTAAGCCAGCGAACAAATTTCGCAGTCTTAATATTTATTTATCTCAAATATTCTTTGATTTCGCCCGGTGAAATATTTCATTCAGAAACGGAAGTGTTCGGCCAAAAAATGGGCCACAAATCAGCGTACAGAGCTCATTAAAAATCACAAGAAAAATACACAAAAAAATTATGGATAAACACTGGTGTATTCCTTATATTTTTTAAATACAAAATATGTATGTAGATAAAACACACACCTTGAGCCACTCACTCAGCCTCAAAGGCAGCCACTTTGGCTGCCAAACATTTTGTCCGGTTTTCCAGCGATTTTCTCTGCGTATGCTGTGTTGATTTTTCCTTCGATTTTCACTGGTGTTTGAGGGAGTTTTCACTTGTCCAAAGTACTTTACCCTGTGGCCGCTGTATATCTGGTTTTTCTATGCACACGCACTGCATATTGCCACTTAAGTAGACTTTCTCTTTGCTTTACTTTGCGGTTGGACTTTCATTTGATTTTTGCGGCAAGCTCACAACACCGCACGTTGTTGTTCTCGCTGCTGTTTTGAGTTGTTGTTTATATGTTTATATTTTATGTTTTATATATTTTTTGTTTATTTTTTTTTTGTATTTGTTGTATATAGAAAGAGAGCACGTTAAAAAAATTTGCAAAAAAAATCGCACGTTTGCACGCGTTTTTGTAAAAAATAGAAGGTGAAACACAAACAATATAATGGGGAACCCCGCCAAACGCACGTGTGTGTGTGCGTGCGATTTCGCTTGAGAGTGTGTGTGTGCGAGTGTGCGTGTGTGCGTGCCAAGCACTAAGTGGGAATACTGCTCCAGCTTCCGTTTCCGCTTTGCACTGCACTTCCGTTCAGTTCCGTTCGTTCCGTTCCGTTCGGCGCTTCGATCTCGACACGACTCCACTTTTCTCCTCGACTTTTCTTCGTCTGGTTCAGCTCTGCCCAGTCCGCAGTCGACGTCTCAGCCGCCGTCGACGCTAGCCGCAGCAGCGACGCCGACTGCGGCGCCGGCAGCGAGAGAGTCATGGTCGCTCTGCGGAGTGGAGTTGCAACTTTTCGAAAGTTTCGCTTCTCTCCAAACTGCAATGCCTCGGAACTCTGCTTAAAACTAATGTACATTTTCGAAAACAAAATTTTTAACTTTAGCGCCAAAGAATATGAGCTTTTCTAAAAATGTTGGCTTTAAGTAGTAATTAACTTCAGAAACTGATTAAAATATTGCATTAGATTGATAGAACATGTTATAACAAATTGGAAAGAAATTCTGGGAAATTAGAAATTGAAAATTATTCTAATGCTTCATATTTTCACATTTAACTTTTTTTAAATTTCTTTGCACAAACAAATTTTAAAAACATAGTAATCATTGAAATCCCTTTTTAAAAATTGATTTTAAAAAAAGTTCACCAAAGCTGCAGGATTTTTAAAAATGAAATATATGGTTAATGTTGCCTTTACAGTTTTAAAATAAAAATTGATAAATTTATTATTTTATTTTATTTATCTTCAATTCCTGTTGTGTGAAGTTGCCCAACTTTTTCTTCTTTATCTTAAATTCGTTTGAAGTGACGAAATCTATTTGAGATAAGTTTTTAACTTGCATTTTCATATATTCCTTAGACCTAACATATTCCATGATTTGGAAACATATTTAATACAACTCTTTTAAGGCAAATTTAAGATGATTAATTTGTACAAGATATTAGAGATATTTTATGTTCTTCAACTGCAAACTATTCTAGATTTTCTTTTACCCCAAATTCATAAATACCTGTAAAGCTATTAATTCCTACTCAATTCTAAGATAACAAAAATAACAAACTTTAATAGTAAAATAGAATATACTGCTCAATAAATTAGAACACAGGTTTATAACCACACACTTTTTAGAGTAGTTTCTAAAATTATCCTTGAAATAACTCAATGCTAAAACCATTTTTGCTGGGATTAAACCCCGAAAAGGAATTTCTTAAATTTCTTAGCCAAAAAATGATTTTAAAAATTTTCACATTTGTAAAAATAAAGATATTAAATTATCCTTGCAACTTAGCTCATTTTGCAAATTGAAAAATTACTAAACTCCCATTCAAAATCCTCAAGAAACTCGAAAATAACCTCAAAAACCAGGTAATCCCAAGTGTAGTTTTTCGAATCCTTCACACACATAAACACACACACTGGCACACTCACACACGCGGTGCAATAACGGGATTCGGCTGCCAAAAAAAAGCCGCAAGAAGAGAGTTGTGGAGAATTTGGATGGAAGTGGGGATGTGTGGCAGGTGGAGAATGTGAGATTCTGAGAAGACAAAACTAAAACGCAGACCCGTGAACGTGTGCGAACACGCGGAAAAACAAATGCAAACTGTTTTTGCTGCAGGGAAATTCGGAAAAACGAAATTCAGCTGAAAAGCCGACGGCGCCGTCAACGTCGGCAGCGCAGCCGAAGTTGCACCCGAAGTTTCCCGAAGTAGTCGGCAGACAGACAATTGCGGCAAGTGCGCGTGGGTGCGAGCGGGAGAGCAGTATGTTCGGCTGCGACACGAACGCACACGATGCCACTTCGTGTCCCTCTGCCGACGTCGCTGCCGAGCTCTCTCCTGCGAGAGAGAGCAGAGCTTTTCCGAAGAGAAAGCGCGAGAGAGAAAGTCGAGCTCCTGCTGCAGCTATTTTATCTTGTTCTTGTGCGTCTGCTGCATTGCCATCAGTAATTGACAAATTGCCTACATTGAAGCGCTAATTTTTTACTAGAAAGAGTAAGACAACGAGGCAGAGGGAGATAGAAAAAGAACATACGTAGAACAAAAACTACAACAAAAAAATTCGGCATTTGCAAATTTGCCTCCTATTATAATTAAATTAAATCAAAGAAACTTACAAATTGATTTTGTTAAGAAATGATTTTATATCAAATTTAATTGGATCATATGAAGTTAAGCAAAGGGATAGAAATATTAGTAAAGAACAAAGGAAAAATTTGTTTTTTTTGCAAGATAATTTTTAAGAAAATAGTGTAACCAAGAAAGTAAAGAAAGACTGGTTGAATGGAGATACCAAATATTTTAAACAATTAGATAAAATATACTCTTATAGTAGTCAAATATATACAAAAAAAAGCAATTGGCAATGCATTTAAAACAAATTGTGGTATGTATAAAAAAGACAATAATACAAAAATTTGTATTTCCCTATCATTATTGATCCGTTGTCAATTGTAGGGACTAAATAATTAAAATATATAGTTTTAGAAAAAAGAGGTTACATTAAACAAATTAAACATTAATATATAATAAACATAAATAATAATTTCATCAACTTTTTTTTAGAGATTTTTTGATTATTTTCAAGCATATTCCTCCTGGAAAAACACACTTAGAGTCCTGAGCTCCTGAGGATATGCAACAGAAGCTGGAAATGCTGCTTGCCAACATTTTGGTCTTAAGCATTTTGGCCCAATTAACATTTGCCGCATAACAGAGATCGCTCGCAGCTGCAGCGCTGTTAGCGCCGACAGAGCAGTCGACGTCGCCATCGACGCTGGCCGAAAAAAACACGTTTTTGTGTCTGTGCAGAAGGCATTCACACCGAAAAGTTTTCGCCGCTTTTCCGTCGCTTTTCGTGCTGCACGTGCTTTTCACGTTTTCCAAACGGAGCCTTCCCGCTCTCTCTTCCCCCTCACTCTCCCACTCTTTCGCTCACTGCCCCTCTCTCGCTCGCTCTTTCGCCCTTTGTGAGGTGTTTGGCCCAGCCGGTTTTGGCCTTTTTTTGCGGTTAACAAAAATATTGCATATTTATGTGGGTTAATGCAAGGAAAATATGGTTTTAAATTGAGTCAAAAACTCAAAAAATCTAAAAAAGTTAATATTACTTAAAATCACCCTTCAATATGTGGGCTCTTTCAAATATTTACCTTCTTAAAAAGATCATAGTTAAACAATCAATTGCTAACAATAAAATTTAAAGGAATTTCATGATTATTGTAATTAAACCCCATTCCTAACACTTTTCTGAAGCCTAACAAATTTAGCAGCACACTTTTACAAACAAAAAAGTATAAAAATAGTTTACAAATAACCATATATACCATCCATAGATTTATTCAACTTTATAGGCTTTAATAATTTCAACAAACCAGCAGCACCAAAAATAATTTGTAAAAAAATTGCAAAAAACTCCCAACATAAATTTAAAATTGTTTTAACAAATGCACAAAAGAAATTGACGAGATTTTATCTCACACAAACACACACACACAAATGCACACTCACAAAAAAACACACACTTAATTTGTTGTTGTTGTTTCTGCTTTATTTAGGTGATGCAATCGAATGCCGCATTCAACACACACACATACGCCACCTCTCCCACACACACACACACATACAAAGGCTCTAAAATATTTTTGTGGTTTACTGTTACGCGAAGTTTTCCACTTTTCTTTTTTGTGTTGATTTTAGCACGAATTTTCGAGGTGAAAAGCGGCGCGTGTTAATGCACCACTTCCTGTTGGGCTACTGTACCGTTATTATTTTGTGTGGCATGCCGGCAAAAGAACGGCACTTCTTTCTCTCACTCTGTCCCTCTCCCTCTCCCTCTCTCTCTGTGTGCAGTTTTCCGATTTTGCCGCTCTCGATTCGCTCAGCAGCGCCGCATTTTCGCCGACTTGCAGCCGGAAAACTGCAATGTGCAAAACTCCGGGCATGCGATTTGAAAATTGTGTCGTCAGCATGACACAATTTTCCAGAAAATGCGCCTGGAACGGAGCGGAGGGAAAAAGCCGAAAAGCAGTAACAAAAACGGGAGCAATGATATGGGGTTTCCTCGGGGAAATCGGGGCAGTCGGGGCATAGCTTTGCAGCGGCGCATTACGAGTTTTTTGGCTTCGGGAATCGGGATTCCTGAATCGGGACTCGGTTCTCATACGGTTGATGGCTAGGGGGGTGAGGGGGGGGTTCAGCTTTTGTTGATGTAGGTCTGGATTTTCAGGACACGTGTCCCCGGTGGTCCTGCGTTGGGAGGTCCTGCTGTGGGTTGTCCCTATAGTTAGACCGATTTTCGGCTTATCCCGAAATCGTCATTATAATTTTTTCAAATTTCTCCAGAATACCGTTTAAATGTATTATTTTTTTGTTTTTGGCAATTTAAATATTTGAGTATTGCCTACCCCACTCCTCTTCATGTGTGTGTGTGTGTGACTCTGGCTGTGTGTGTGAGTCCGCCCGTGTGTGTTGGTGTGTGTGCGTGTGAGTTCAATAGCATTTTGGGCTGGCAAATAAAAAATAAATAAAACCAGAAGCTTGCAGCTGCTGCAGTGAGAGAGAGAAAATGCCTCGACCGAAAAAGAGAGAAGCCGTCAGAGGCGAGACAGATAGCTTAACAGTCTGTTAACATTTAGGGAAATTAAAGGAAAAGCTTTTAAGAGCCAAAAATAATGAGCAAGAGGCATTAGCCCTGCAAAGCGATCATCCACTCTTAAGCGATCTGAAAACATAAAGCTCACCAAAAAAGTCTTTAACACTGACAGTTATTAGGTAATATGAACATTATTAACCAAATAAATAATAAATAAAATGTATTATTTTTAATCAATATTAAAGAGCGCATAAAATACACTTAATATACTTAAGTGGACATTACTTAACTGAATTGTATTCTTTCAATTCAATCAAAAATGGCATTAATAATCCATTAAATATATAACAAAAATGCTTCCACCATTGTAAAATTATAAGTAGAAAGACCATTAAAAAATTTTAAATTCTATTTTAAATGAAAGCCACTCGGCGAAGGCAACTTTGTTGTGATCTACGGTTGAGGGTCTGTGGCACCGATAAGATAAGGAGTCGGAAACGATTTTGGCTTAGCCCTGCAGATGGTTAGCCGTGTTATCGAAGGTGTTACTAACTGATAAGCATGAGTAAGCGAAACAAAATTAGTAATTGTTTTCCCCAGACAATAAAATATGCGATTGAGAAATGGGGCTTAAATAGTTTTCGGAAGAAAAAAGCCTGCAAATTACAGGTGTTAATAACTGATTATTAACGACTATGTGGGCTATTAAATCATAAATAAACTAGCCCATCTATGGGTTTATATATAACGATTTGTGTATCTTTACGAAAATGTCTAAAATTGAAATTCAAAGTTTCATTATAAATGAAATACTGACCATCTTAATATTTAATATTTTATTGACTAGCCGAAAATTGCTATAAGATAGTATAAAGGTATTTTAGCTATATGCAAGCATAGGAATGGGATTAAAGTGTATATCTAATAATCATTTCCTTTTCAGTTGACTCCTTTGCTGGGTAGTGAGTGCCGGCAGGGAAATATTCCGGCATACTCCTTCACAGTGATCTCCATGTAAAGCGGTTCCGTGTGATCGTTGGTGAGGACCCGCAGGTCCTGATCGCTGAGTCGCATATACTGCTTGCTCGACGGCATGAACTCCTGGCAATCGTGCGACTTGTGGATTCCCCTCACCTTCATGATCGAACTCCGGGTGATGTCCAGTCGGCGGTTGAGTACGGTCATCACCACATGTATGGGCTGCGGCAGATCCATGCTGGCCATCCACAGGGCCACGGCATCCTTGTCGTCCACTCCCTCGAATCGCACCTTCCTGCCCTCCAGGCTGCTCAATCGATTCCGGCAGATCATCACGAACAGCGGCAGGTGTCCAGAGTAACGGACGTAGGGCTCCGGCAACTGGACATTCTGGGTGGGCATAAATCTGGCCGCAGGCAGGGTGCATGGCTTATTCCGTACTCCACCGTACACAATCACCGACATGCAGGTGTTCTTGCCCAACTGAAAGGCTCGGGGACTGAAGATAATCAGCATGCGTTCGCTTTCGAAAATCTCACGTAGTTCGATGCCGGGCTCGTTCAAATGCTGGTTCACAAAGTGACTCAGTAGAGTGGCATTCATTACGGCCGGACAGTCGTCGTGATTCAAAGGACATCCGAACTTAACGGAGTTCGTCAACACGGGCCTGAATATATTCTTCTGCTCCCTGAAATGCCGGCGATACTCCCGATCCGAGGTGGACTGCAGCAAACGCAATTGACCCATCCGCAATTCAAGGTCCTGCACTCTCTCCGCTCGACTCAGTTTATCGAACTCGGTGACAAAGTACTGGGTCCTCTCCAGCGTTTCATCGGATTCCCTGAAAAGTGGCGTGCCCGCACATCCGGCATCTAGTCGATCTATTGGCTGGAACTTTAGCTTCGCCCCCCGACTATAAAGTCCACCCATCCGCAGCTTTTCGTCCCTATAGCCATTGCCCAAACCCGTCTTTCGCCACACCTCCGCAAAGGTATCCGTGGAGTGCAGGGGAACCAGTCGCTCGGCATCGTCCGACTTCTTCAGGCACGATTTCTTGGGCTCACTTCTCAGCAGGGTCTTCAAGCGTTCATCGAAATTCTCCAAAGAAGAACTCTTCACCGGATCGGGGGTTTTCGCACCCTTGAAACCAATCAGTTGACTCCTGTTCTTGAACCCCTCACTGCCACTGCTATGGCAGTCTTTCAGTGGCCTGGGCGATAAAAGGGTCTTCAAAGTCAAGGTTTTGGGTCGTTTTAGTCTGGGAGATTCATTAGTTCGGCAATCATTGCGAGAAATCGATCGATGAAGCTTGCTTTCCCGCCTACAAGGTATCCAGCGTGGACTTAATGATGCTTTCGATAAATTTCTTCTATTAATTGTGACATTCTTCTTGGATTCTTCGTTTTGCTTGATGAGTATGGGGGATTTTATAGAGCCACTGGGTTCCATATCCCTGTTTTTTTTGCAGTCAACGGGTTTCTTTTTCGCACTTTGATTGGAATGAAATGGATCACCAGACTGACGTTTGCTGGGCAATTTTAGTTTCCCTAGAATTTTGCTTGGACTTTGAACAGGAAATTTAGCACACCTTCGAGATGGTATAGAATATCGAGCTTGAGTTTGCTCTGGAAATTTAACAGAGGCTCGGGATGTCGTCTTAACAATTGGATTTTGGATTGGATCTTTTCCTGGCAATCGAAAGGAGTCAAGAGCAGATTTAAAAAATGGTTCAGGAAATTTTTGTAGATTTTGGGAAGAACATCTCTTGACTAGTTTTTTTGCCATATTTTGATTGGGATATTTTCCATAAAATCGACTCTGAAACTTGGGCGAATACTTTGCTAACTCTATGCTTGAACAATTTAACGACTTATTTCCATCTTCAAGTATACCTTCTGGGTCACTTTTATGCTGAGGGGTTTCCATGTTATTTTTTACAGGATTTCTCGTTTCGGGTGGAGGAGACACTCTGCGAAGTATGGGAATAGCTGTATTAGATAGATCTTCTTTAGGTTTCTTCAACTCTTTCTGTGATATTTTCGATGGATTCCGATCCTCTGAGCCAGATGCAAATCTACCCTTCAATTCCTCCCTTCTCCGACATTCCATGGAGAACAGTTCCAAGGGAGTGAGGGGTATCCCCAAGCACTCGAAATGAAGACTGCGCCGAAACAGATCCACAAAGCCAATGCAAGGTCGAGTGGTATCCTCCGAAGACTCTGAGATTTCCTCTTCCACGAGTGGATTTTCAGGGATCTCTCCACCCACCTCGCGTTTTTCTTCGACCTGGACTTCGACTACAGGAGGCGGTGGAGGGCAGAGACGAGCCTGGATTTGGTCGACCAACTTCAAGTAGCCATTGGCCAGGTTACCCACCACTCCTCCATTTACTAATTAAAATATTCAAAATAGACAGTTGGTTATTTTATTAGATAGATAGGGCATACCCTGCTGTGGCTGCTCTGGATTTTCCATGTCCTCATCGCCCTCATCCTCCTTCTTCTCCTCCTCGGCATCCGGATCCTTCTCCAATTGATCCCGATTTCCCTGGCGGTAACTCTTTCTATTTGCAATCCGCGGTTTCGCCTGAGTTGCTGCCTTTTGCTCTGAATAGCAGAATTTCTTACCCATTGCTTTATAAATAATTTATTTACCAAACTTGAAATTTGACAGGATTTTCACATAGATCAAGCAAAAGAATTGCTTGCTATTTGACGCGTACACCAAAAACCACATGATTTAATTTAAGTTTTTATCTAGTACCCATTGACCTAACCAATGTTTACACCTTAAAGGAAACTATTATGAATTATTATAAAAAACTAGCATTGCTATAATCTTTTCATAAAAGGTAACATTTATCAGCGATTTTGAATAAATCGGAGCCAGTGGACAAGCAAACTAAAATTCGAATCAGAAAAAATGTTAAACGACCTAATCTAAATAATCTTCCAGTTCTAAGAACGAAGGCACTATTTCTCTGGAAACTTATAACCGATTTGCCACTAGTTTGATTAATATTTTGGCTACTTCTATTGATTGGCATTTCTCAATGAATCACTCATCCGGCTGCGTGTTGGTTTTCAAGACCTAAGTTGCCGAGCCATATAACTTTTACGGCAGTCGAGGGTCTCTTGTTTTACTTATCAATCAAGGGAACAGGTGTTCCAAAAAAGAGGCGATCGCGATTTTATTGTGCCGGCCAGCTGAGCCAATTGCTCTTGACCGGGCCAATTGGCCACACGATAAACCCACTAAACAAGCTCAGGTGTCGGAACAGGTGTTGTTTCAACTAACAATTTCCGTAGAAAATACTGAGCAAGAAATGTTGCCGTAAGGGTTATTGTGCACCTTTTCTTCGGTTCACAGAATGATAACATTTTTAAACATAAAAGTATAGCTAATAAATACAAATATAACTAATAATAAACCAATGAACCATCTCAAAAACGATAACTTACGTAGAATATATATACTCTATAAGTTTGGAAATTTCTGCTTCAATTATAAAAGGGAATTGTATACCCTAACAAAGGTACTAATAACTAAACTATTGCAATATATATTAAGAACCGAAAGCAGAACAAAAGCTATCATACACTTTTTATGGCCAAAATCCGGAAAAAAACAACTAGTTCTTCAGTTTCTCGATCAAAACCCTGGAAAATAGTGGACGAATGGTGGAATGTCATACAACGCTGAATTCGTTATTAAATTTTCAATCAAATTCTTAGCTAAAAAATTGTATTTTTATACCCTTGCAGAGGGTATTATAATTTTGGTCAAAAGTGTGCAACGCAGTGAAGGAGACATCTCCGACCCTATAAAGTATATATATTCTTGATCAGGATCACCTCCTGAGTTGATATAGCCATGTCCGTCTGTCCGTCTGTCCGTCTGTCCGTCTGTCCGTCTGTCTGTTTCTACGCAAACTAGTCTCTCAGTTTTAAAGCTATCGAGTTGAAACTTTGCACACAGCCTTCTTTCCTTTGCACGCAGTATATAAGTCGGAACGGCCGGAATCGGCCGACTATATCCTATAGCTGCCATATAACTGATTGATCGGAAATGCCATAACTTTGGTGTTTGTAAAGTTAGGAAGTTGGAATTTTCTATGGGCCCTATATTTGGCCAATCAATCCGACCTACCAAATTTCATAAGGATCGGCCGACTATATCTTATAGCTGCCATATAACTGATTGATCGGAAATGCCATAACTTTGGTGTTTGTAAAGTTAGGAAGTTGGGATTTTCTATCGGTTTTATATTTGGTCAATCAATCCGACCTACCAAATTTCATAAGGATCGGCCGACTATATCCTATAGCCGCCATATAACTGATTGATCTGAAATGCCATAACTTTGGTGTTTGTTAAGTTAGGAAGTTGGGATTTTCTATGGGTTTTATTTTTGGCCAATCAATCCGACCTACCAAAGTTCATAAGGATCGGCCGACTATATCTTATAGCTGCCATATAACTGAACGATTGGAAATGCTATAACTTTGGTGTTTTTAAAGTTAGGATGTTGGGATTTTTTATGAGTATTAAGAATGCATCATATGAATAATTTTGGAGAATATAATTTACAGAGTATTCTGCAAGGGTATATCAACTTCGGCTCCGCCCGAAGTTAGCTTGCCTTTCTTGTTTTAAATAAATTATGAGGTACCCCTTGGCCTTAAAGTCTGTATCAAGAATACATATATTTAAAATGGTCGGAAATGTCTTCTTCACTGCGTTGCAAGCTTTTGACTGCAATTATAACACCCTCTTTAAGGGTATAAAAATATGTAATAAATATATATATAATATAATATAATATAATAATATCTAATCGTTTTCGGATCGCCAGTCGCTGGGTGAGCGCCCACGTTAATCCCCGTAAAGATAAGAGCCCCTTATTTGCCCATTAGGTCTGCTCCAACACGAAATCCTACCGAATTCAGAAGCTTATCGCCGGGTGATAAAGGCGGGTGAAAAAAAATAAACCGAGAAAGAAAACCCAAAAAGGTGGAAATCTAATCGGCGGGGTACTCCAGCCGATTTTTGATACAACCTGCCCACCATTTAATGTGTTAATGGTCAGTGGATTTGGTTGGGTTTGCTTCAGTTAGTGGCGTGCTGCCGGCGCGAATTGTTTTCCCACTCGGCGCGAAGTCGAGTTTTCCCTTAGACTTATTTATTTATATTTTTTTTTTATTGGTGTGACAATGAAAGTGACTTCATCGTTGATCATCCTGTGGCTGGTGGCCGGAGTTTGGTCGCAGAGCGAAGAGGAGCTGGGCTGTATTTGGTATGGCCAGAGTCACATGATAGGCGCCTTCTGGCAGAATCTGGCGGATACGCGACCGGCCAGACCACTGAACAGTCCATCGGCGGAGGCGCTCTTCGCCAAGAGATGCCCACTGCTGTACAAGGAGTACAAGGGCGAGAGTGGCCAGGACGAGCTGAGCCTCTGCTGCGATGCGGCCCAAATCGAGACCATGGAGTCGGGATTGTCGCAGGCGGATGGTGTCTTCTCCCGATGTCCCACCTGCACGAGGAACATGGCCCAGACCGTTTGTGCCATGACCTGTGCCAAGAACCACACGCTCTTTCTCACCGGCTACAATGCCACGAATCCGAGTGGTCAGGATTTCGTGGAGTCCATTGACTATCGGATATCGGACGATTCGGTATCGCGAATCTACAACAGCTGCATTGGCATTCAGCACACCCAAACCGGACGACCGGCCATGGATCTGGGATGTGGTGCGTACAATGCCAAGACCTGCACCTACCGCCGATGGTATCAGTTCATGGGCGATGTGAGCGGCGACTATGTGCCGTTCCAGATCAATTATATGTGGTCGGAGGATGCGGAGGAGGGTTCGGAGGAGATCTATCTGGAGGTGAGTCCACTGCAGTGTGGCGAGAGTTACGAGGACAGCTATGCGTGTGCCTGCATTGACTGTGAGGAGTCCTGTCCGCTGACCGATGCACCCACCGGTCCCGAGGAGCTCTGGAAGATTGCCGGCCTGTACGGGGTGACCTTCATCCTGGCCCTGGTCATCGCCGTCCTTTTGTCGGGCTTCATTTTCTGGGGAGCCTTTGGAAGGAGCTCGGCACCCAGCGTCTGCATGCCCACCTTGTTCGGGGAGTTCTTCTATCATGGCTTCCGGATTTGGGGCACCTTCTGCGCCAAGCATCCCGTCCTCGTCCTGGCCCTCTGCTCCTGGGCCATCGCTGGGTTGGCCTACGGCATCCGGTTCATGAGCATCACCACCGATCCCGTGGAGCTGTGGGCGGGCGAGCAGAGCCAGACGAGGATCGAGAAGGACTACTTCGATCAGCACTTCGGACCCTTCTATCGCAACAACCAGATCTTCATCAAGGCCATCAATCAGACCTATGTGAGTAGTAGCCTTATCAAAAGCAAACATTTATAAGTTAAAAGGGCAGAGAAAAAGCATTAACAGTCTCGAATGAATGAATAATTTTTTTTATTTATTTATAAGAAATTTGTCTCATTGAAATCGCATTCCGAGTTTTTTAAGCTATGAATCTTAAACTTGGAAATACTTAACAGAACCATTGGTAAACAAATCTACCAATCTGGAATGGAACTATTATAATGCAGAATTTTTAAAACAAACTGTGGAACTGCAGTTTGGGGTCACCTTTATAATATTGCATCAATTTAATCATTTCAATTCTGATTATTGGGGTCTTAACTCATAATCTATTTTAGGTACTTTGAAATCGTTCTCAGTTAGGCTATGCAAATGCAGTTTGGGGACACATTTTTGCAAGTCATCAAATGTTAGGTATCATAAAACTAACCAATATTTGAAGTAAATAATTACAAAGCAAGTTTTGAAGGAAACCAATTTGAAATGTTAGCACGATAAGCAAAATGAATAGCTATAGAAATAAAGTTTGGGTCTTTCTGCAAGCTGAATATTCAAAAGTAGCTTAAATAAATGGAACCAAAATATATTATATTAAATAATAGTATTAATTAACTAATCATATATATTAAATACAAAATACCACATATCTAACAAATTTCAATATATGTTTTATTTAATCTTCAGTTCACTCACGAGGCTCCCAGTGGCAATCTTACTTTTGGTCCTGCCTTCGAGTACAACTTCCTGAAGGAAGTCTTCGAGCTGCAGAACTCCATTTTGAAACTGGGAATGGACGATAACGAGGGATTCGATAAGATCTGCTATGCACCCGTTTTAATGGCCGGAGAAACAGCCACAGTGGACCACTGTGTTGTCCAGTCGGTCTACGGGTATTTCCAGCACGATATGGATCGATTTGAGAACTCCTATGTGGACAGCAGCAACTTCACCATCAACTATCTGAATCAATTGGAGGATTGCCTTCGGTGAGGAATTAGATAGACGATTCCTTGTTAATCCTCGATAATCATAAGTGCTTTTTCCCATCTTTCAGAGTCCCCATGCTGGAGGATTGCTTTGGAACCTATGGCGGACCCATTGAGCCTGGCATCGCGGTGGGTGGCATGCCCAAGGTCGCGGTGGGCGAGGATCCCGACTACATGTTGGCCACCGGCCTCGTGGTCACCTTCCTGGGTAAGAATCAAAACGACGACACCAAACTGGAGCCCAGCCTGAAGTGGGAGCAGCTGTTCGTGGACTTTTTGCGTGACTACCAGAGCGATCGACTGGACATTGCCTATATGGCCGAAAGATCCATCCAGGATGCGGTGGTAGAGCTGTCCGAGGGCGAAGTGGGCACAGTGGTCATCAGCTATGTGGTGATGTTCGTCTACGTGGCCATTGCCCTGGGTCACATCCGCAGCTGTCGTGGATTCCTGAGGGAATCCCGCATCATGCTGGCCATCGGCGGCATTGTCATCGTTTTGGCCTCGGTGGTCTGCAGTCTGGGTTTCTGGGGCTATCTGGATGTGACCACCACCATGCTGGCCATCGAAGTGATCCCGTTCTTGGTCCTGGCCGTCGGCGTGGACAATATCTTCATCATGGTGCACACGTACCAGCGGTTGGACCACTCGAAATTCAGGACCACCCATGAGGCGATTGGCGAGGCCATCGGCCAAGTGGGTCCTTCGATCCTCCAGACGGCGGGCAGTGAGATGGCCTGCTTTGCCATCGGATGTCTGTCTGATATGCCGGCGGTGAAGACCTTTGCCATGTACGCCGCCATCGCCATCCTGATGGACTTCCTGCTCCAGATCACCGCCTTCGTGGCACTGATGGCCATCGATGAGAGGCGCTACTTGGACGGCAGACTGGACATGTTGTGCTGTGTGAGGAGTGGTGGCAAGGTGACCAGGAACGAGGACGGGGACAATGGCGATAGGCCCAAGGAGGTGGGAGTGCTGGAGACCATGTTCAAGAACTTCTACTCACCCTTCCTGCTGTCCAAGTAAGTGGATTGCCAATCATAACAATTATATTAGGAATTGTGGAGTTTGTGGATTGAAAAACATCTGCTAACTGATGCATTTTCCTTCTACAGTAGTGTTAAATTAAACATTTTTATAGTATTTAGTTTCTATTACTCACACAAGAAGCCATATCCGGTTTTTTCACAATGCCATATATATAGTGATTATCATTCGTGTATATATACGATACCATTTTGTTTCCTATTAGTTCCATTTCCAAACCATTTTGTTGCTATAAATCCCATCTCTATACCATTTTAGGCCCGTAAAAGTGTCCGTTCTGCTGATCTTCACTGTGATCACCTGCCTTTCGCTGATGGTGACGCCCTCGATTGAGAAGGGCCTCGACCAGGAGATGTCCATGCCGACGAACTCGCATGTGGTGAAGTACTTCCGCTACATGGTCGACCTGCTGGCGATGGGAGCTCCGGTGTACTGGGTCCTCAAGCCCGGACTCAACTACGCGGAGCCACTGCAGCAGAATCTCATCTGCGGCGGAGTCGAGTGCAACAACAACTCGCTCTCGGTGCAACTGTATACCCAATCACGATATCCGGAAATCACGGCTTTGGCCCGACCAGCTTCCTCCTGGCTGGACGACTACATCGATTGGTTGGCCATCACTGATTGCTGCAAGTACAACATCACCACCGGCGGATTCTGTTCCAGCAGTGAGTATACTTATTTGCAAACAAATCGAAGTCATAACATCAATTAAACAGAAGAAAATAGGCAAAATAATAATAGTAAGACGTGAGAAAAAGTCTTCGCAGTTTAGTTATCTTGAAACATTTTATTTTTGCATTAGTTTAATCGTTTCTTGATCACAAGTAAAGACTGTTTTAAAAGAGTTGAAATGCTTTTTGACTATAGTTTTATTTTGTATTATGATTCTTTACTGAATTTTAACAATTAAATATTACCAATGTTTTTCTTTTTTTATCTATTTACATATGCAATAATACTAATAATTTAAATGTCATTTGCTTCTTTTTAAAGACTCAAAGAGCGAAGATTGTCTGCCCTGCGAACGTGGATTTACAGAAAATGGTCTTCGACCTGATGCCGATACCTTCAACAAGTATATTCCTTACTTCCTGTTCGATCTGCCAGATGCCGAGTGTGCCAAGGCTGGAAGAGCCTCCTATGCTGATGTGAGTACATTTTTGATTGCTGAAACCATTTATGAAATATTTATAGAAAAAAATTATATTAAGGTGGTAAAAGTTAAAAGATAACCAATTTTGGTCCACAATGAAGGAACAGAGAACAATTAGCATTCACTTACTGATACAAAAAACATATCTTTTAATAAAAAATAACCAACATGAAAATGGGTCAAAAAGTCGGTCAACGCTAAAATGAAAATTTTGAATGCAGATTTTTAGAGAATGCAACCAAAAGTCTTTAGAGATATGCCACTTTGAAATCGGATTATATTTGGTAAAGTTATGGAATCTAGGAGTCTAAATGTGGGTCACTTTTGGGCAACTCATCGAAAACTTAGAAATAACCAACATGAAAATGGGTCAAAAAGTCGGTTAACGCTAAAATGAAAATTTTGAATGCAGATTTTTAGAGAATGCAACCAAAAGTCTTTAGAGATATGCCACTTTGAAATCGGATTATATTTGGTAAAGTTATGGAATCTAGGAGTCTAAATGTGGGTCACTTTTGGGCAACTCATCGGAAACTAAACAAATAACCATCATGAAAATGGGTCAAAAAGTCGGTTAACGCTAAAATGAAAATTTTGAATGCAGATTTTTAGAGGATCCAACCACAAGTCTTTAGAGGTATGCCACTTTGAAATCTGATTATATTTGGTAATGTTATGGAATATAGAAGTCCAATTGTAGGTCAACATGCAAATGGGTCGAAAAGTCGGTCAACGCTAAATTTTACATTTTCTTAACAGGTTAAAAACATGTTAAGAAGTAAAACACAACACTTTAAAATGTTTAAGTTAAACAAAAATAGTATCAAGTTAAAAAACTTTTAACCAAGTTTTTGCACATAACACTTTTGCTAGTTTTGTCGGGGTTATAAGATAGTTCCTCAAATGACTAAACCCTGTTTACCTTCGATTTGCAGGCTGTGATCTACACCATCGACGATGAGGGAATGTCCACTGTACAGGACACCTATTTCATGCAGTATTCGACGACATCGACGACCTCGGAGGAATTCTACTCGCAGCTGCGTGAAGTGCGCAGAATTGCGGGGGAGATCAACTCCATGTTCGCGGAGAATGGTGTGGATGCGGAGATATTCGCCTACTGTGTGTTCTACATCTACTACGAACAGTATCTGACGATCTGGGAGGACGCCATGTTTTCGCTGGGGATGTCGCTTCTGGCCATCTTCCTGGTCACCCTGTTGATTACCGGCCTGGACATCACCTCCACACTGATCGTGCTCTTCATGGTGATCTGCATATTGATCAACATGCTGGGCATGATGTGGGCGTGGAGCATCTACCTGAATGCCATATCGCTGGTGAATCTAGTGGTTTGTGTGGGCATCGGCGTGGAGTTCGTGGCGCATATTGTGAGGTCCTTCAAGAGGGCGGAGGGATCAGCCCAGGAGCGGGCTCTCCACTCCCTAAATGTGACAGGAAGCAGTGTCCTTTCGGGCATCACACTCACCAAATTCGCGGGCATCGCCGTTTTGGGCTTCTCCAAGTCGCAGATCTTCCAGGTCTTCTACTTCCGAATGTATCTGGGCATTGTCCTGATCGGAGCTGCCCACGGATTGATCCTGCTGCCCGTTCTCCTCAGTTTAATGGGACCGCTCCACAAGTCGACCAGAAGCTCGAGTGCCACGTCCACCACGCCCATTACGCCCACCAACTGATCGGGATATATCCCATAAAATTAAACATATATATATATATATCTGTAGTCCTTAGAGTATGCCTGATTGTGTGTGCCTGAATTATTGTGTGTGCCTCTTTTTTTTAAAGTCTGATTGTTGAAACTAAATTGAAACAGACAATTACACCTTTAATTAAATTATGTATCTTAACCTAAATTAACGAGTTTTTATTGATTGTCAACTTTTCCAAAAAAAAACAAAATACAAAACAAATGTATAAGCCATTAGTTACTTGAGGATTTTTTAAGATTTTTATTTCTAAAAACCACTGCGATTTCTTAAATCTTGTTTCCAATTTAGCTAATTTTGATATACACTTTGGGGGTAAGAGTTATACATTTGTGCCCACAGATCAAAAAGAGTTTTATTTGTGACGTTTATAAATTACAATTACAGCAGTCCTCTAAAAAATAAAGTGACAAATAAATAATATTCTTGGTCCCTGCAGATAACCATTCTTCTGTTACAAACTTTTCAAAGGAATTGACAAAATCTTTGCTTAATGAAATATTTAAATTTTTGTTAAGTAATTCAAGTAACCCAGCCATCAGGTCTTGAAAATGGAGTTAACCCACATTTTTGTTTGTCTATTTGAAAATATATTAATAAAGATAATTTCTTTTTTAAGCTGTACATTTCTCGCAAGACAATTGACGGTGGGGGGTTGAGCCTGGGCCCATTGTTTATCGCCGTGGCACCTTTGCTTTTTATGGCTTAAAGCGACCAATTGCCGCGTGCGGCGTCAAAACAATAAACAAAAAGCGGGCCGCGGTTGTAAGTCGCACAAACCAACGATTTCCCGGGCCCCGGGCTTCTGGGCCATCCCCGACCCCCGTGTTTATCCTGACTCCTTGGTGTCCTGGTCTCTGGACTCTCGGAATACACAAAACGTCTTACGCCTTTTGGGCAAAAGTTTAGCTCAGATTTTTTAATGATATTTCCTGCCTCCTTGGGAAAAGCCTGAATACCCTTACCCCATTAATTTATGATTACTAAACATTTCAGTGGGGTCTTCAAATATTTTTGCTGAGATTGCGATTAAATTTATAGAAGATTTAGTAATATATTAAAGTCATAATCTAAAAAAAGTATTCTTCCTTGAAAAATATATTGGTTAGAATAGCGTAATGATAATCTCTGGTAATATGTTCTTTTAATTTTTTTTTAAACATTAAATAGCCATAAAACTGAAAACAAATTCATATATATATTTGTACATCAAGACTTGAATTTAGTTGATTTAGATGTACCTAAACTAGAAAAAGAAGCTGAAAGAAACCAGTTTATTGCCATTTCAGGAGTAGGTCTCTCGGGTAAGGATATTCGCCACTTCGGCAGGACTCGAAGCGGACGAAAGGAGTAAGTTTGCCTGATGATGGCTTCCTTGTTTTTAACTGCTCTCACCGCCTGCTGGCCAGTGGAGTGCTCTGCGGCTTATGGAAACCAGAAACACACACAGAGAAAAGCTGGAAGAAAAGCGTTTAACCCTCAAAATGAGTCGAGTGTTTTTAATTAAAATTAATAAAGTTTAGAGTGGTTTTTCCGCATGCACCGTGGTCACTGGACCAACGCTTTTCCCGCCCCCGCCCCCTTCCCCCAATCTTAATCACCGAATGAGAAATGTGTGCGGCATTAAGATTCATGCCTCATCGAGTCGCCGGCACTTCAAACGGCCGACAATTGAAAAGCATAATTATAAATGTATCAACTAATGCGTATGGCAAAATCAATTAGCAATTACCAGCACTTCCACCCATCCAGATGAAGTGCAAATTGAGTTGTCCATGTGTGTTTGCACTCGTATTTACGCATATTTCCGTGACTGTACGTGTGCGTGTGCGTGTGCGGGCCAGAAACTGAATGTTTTTCATCCTCCACTTAATTGCCATTCAAAGTGCTTAACAATGCCAAGTGCTAATGCCAAAAATGAACCCAATGAGCCGGAACATCTCGGCCAGAAAATAAACACGTGAATACCACCCATCGAATGCCGAAATAATCTTTAAGTATTTTCAGATGCGAAATGCAGAGCAAGTGCGTTCGGTGGAGTTCGTAAATTCTGTATTTTAATTATACTTCACAATGCGAGGAGTTACATTTTTCAATGGAAAAATCATGTAATTAATTCAGGACCAATTAATGCTCTGTTACTATTTAATCCTGTCTACAATAACTAATTTTATATACAAATAATGTTTTTTAAGTTTTATATTTTATTGATTTTTGTAATTTCCTTAAAATGTAAAACCATTTCTTGAAGCGTTAATTTATAAAAGTTATAGAATTTGCTTTGATCATTTATGTTTTTCTCTAACTATATAAGTATAATTATAAATTTTGACCTATATATTAAACAATTAGGAACTTTTCAAATAATAAAAACCATTATATTTCATATACACATGTTTATTGAATAAAGATCTTTCCTCCACCACTTTAATGAGTGCCTGAAAATTAAAAATATTTTATTATAAATATTGTTCAATATTCTGTATGCCATAGGACTCTCTGTGGGCCATGTTTTTCATCGAAATTTCCAATGGCATCCACTTGGCCGATTCGGAATCATTTAACACCGGTTATGATCTCTCCCGAGAAGCGTCACTGGAAGAATAACATAAACACCATGCAAATGAATAATCCATTAGGAGCATCTTGGCAGACTCGCATAAATCATCCGTGTGAGCAGGCAACACATTTCGCACAGAAATTGAGGCGAATCAACGAATTAATGTGGCAAGTGTGGCAATAAAAATTTAAATTAATTGATTTCGTACTGCTAGCGGCATGTGCAAAAGGCCGAAAAAATGCAAAAGCGAAACAGAAGCAGATACTCTCGAGTGTGTTTTTCTATTTTCGCACGATTTGTGGCCAATTTAGGCGGCTTGCCATGGCCATAGCCATAAAAGGCCAAAAGGCCGCGGCCAGGACTCTTAACCAGGTCATAACTCACGTGCCGACGAGGATGGCATTAAAATAAAATTTGCGCATATTTATTAATCGGTTATTGGATGCGTGGAAAGGCCGGAAAAGCGTATTTATCTGTATCTCTGTATCTGCAATCTGGCCATAAAAGCGCTGGCCAAACAAAAACCTGATTTCCAAAAAGGGAAACTCACTTCGCTGCCCTTGGGTATTGCCTTTCAGTTTCCATATTTTTTGTGGCACTTTGAATAATGCGTTTTTTAATTAGTTGGGGAATTTCGGGATTCGTTCGAGAGTGAAACGGAAATTGGAATGAGATAAGTAGGTTTTTTTTTTGGTTTTAACGAATTTACAGAACACAAAGTTGAATCAAAGGCTTTTAGCTTATGCAAAAGGCCTTGTGAATACCGAAAAAATGAAATAAAACTAATTAAGACACATTAAAGTTTTTGGTATACAAAGTAAAAGATATTTTTAATTTAAGTTATTACTTAATGCGTCAAGATTTTCCCCTCCAATCAGTTTAAATATACTCTTAGCATTTCACTGCTTTGTAACCCTTCATTCTGCATTAAGAACTCACTTTGTTTAAGCCAGTGAAAATATGCCTTATACTAAATTCCGTGCCATGAATTCCAACTGAAGTTTGCTGTTAACATATTCAACTTTTGATTTCATAATCCCCGCATTTTTGAGTTCGTTGGGGGGAAACTTTTCAATTATTTTTCAATTAGCATTTGTATTTGCTTTGGATTATATACTTTCGTGCATATCTATGTATGTATATATTGATATATATTTTTTGTTCGAGCTTAATTAATGCAATCAACCAAAGGGGCAAAGTCAGTTGTTGCATTAGGGTCAAATGACAAGGCCTAAGCCGGACTAATCCGTAGTTTTTTTGGGCCGGGAATGCCACAGTGGCCCCCTTCTAAAATTGGGTTTTAATACAAATTAATTACGAAAGAGAAAATTCAATTTTTAGGAGTTCACAATCTGCCAAAACCAAACGCGAAAAAAGTTAATTAAAGCCGAGAGCGCGCGCACATAAACACACGGCCACATTTTCAATGATGGAGATGGAATATTTAATTTATTCATTCGCTGACATAAGCCCGGGTCCAGCTTTGGGACTATGGACTATGGACTACAAACTACGGAATAGGACTACTATATGGACTATGGACCATGGCTAACCTAGTCCATAGACGAATCAGTAATTTATAAACGTGCTTATAAGCCGCAATCCAATTCGCAATTCCCGTTTTCGCTAAAATTACACTTGCAGCAGGCCAAAAACCCATTTTCAACAGTTTTCCCCCAAACACCCCGCTGCATTTTGGCCATTTCCCTCGTTTTTCACTAGTCCAAAATGTTATCAACACTGACAAAACTCAAAACTGCCCAACTGGCCATGGCCATGGCCGTGGAACTGGCCCAGAGAGTAGGATTTCAGGGGGGCTGGGTAACCCCCAGTCAAAAAAGGGGGGGTTTCTGCCAAACTGAAAGCTAAAACTGCAAACTGAAACTGAAGCCAAGCGAAAACGCGTGAGCGAATGAGCTTGGTTTCCATTTTTTTCGCAGCTTTTTCTGTTTTTTTATTTGCCTCTGAAATTAAATTGAAAGTTTTTGCAATTTAACCCCAAGCAATCATAAAAACAATAATTATTATGATTAATTAAACAATGAATTTAATTATTAAGGACTTAGGCTCTAATAAAGTTAAAGTGAATTTAAATTATACTAAGCCACGAAGATAATGTTAATTGGACATTTATTTATTAATTAATTTGTTGCTTAGAAATGTGTTAAATGATTCAAAATAATGCAAAAAAGACTCTGCAATGCAAAAAAATACAAAAAGGAATGTAACAATATAAATAAAGTAAAAATAAATGCTTAGGTTTTGAGCTGAAAAAATGTTTGAAATATTTAAACAAGAATATCCATTATGACCAAAAAACGGACCCAAGTAAATACTAAATGAAATGAAATTCATCATTTAGACGGAAATCTAATTTGTCCAATTAAATTCAAGATACTGCACTTTTAAATACTGAGTAATTAATAAAATTGTGGCCAGCCTGGAAAATGTAAAGAAAAATAAAGGGAAATTCCCCGACCGTTGAAAACTTGTGGTAAATGTTGGCCGGATTTCCTTGTGGCCGGCAGTCGAGTGACAGGCCAATAACAGAAATCAAACAAATTACTGCAGATTAAATCCGAGTTGAGATGACACAGCCGCCTCAGTGGGTTAATGTTTTGCGAGTGTGCGTGTGTGTGAGTGAGTGTGTGTGGGGGA